ATTGCTTAAATTGGAAAATTAACTGCGATGATCATTCTTTACTTTCATCTACAACCGCAGTTCATATATGAATTATTTCATATAAACTTCACATCAGTAAAACAACTATCGCGATTGTATTAGAGCATACATAGGGCAAAAACTTGTATTTTCACAAAGGCAGTAAGTGGTTTATTGACAGTGAAAATGGTTTACTTTATTACACTAGATGTTTCTATACAAAACTGGATATTTAAAAGGTTTGTAAATCTATTCTGCGATTGTTGCAATGCTAAGTGTGTTTGTTTTTTTTGTTTAGGTTGGTCTTAACTGTCAAACAGTTACACTGGCCTCCAAATCTCAGAAATGTGTTCTATTTGTGGCAGATGAAGTAGTCACCAGGTAGAGCACTTATTCACCTTTACAATGTAGCTTACACAAAAGAGAGGATGAAGAGTAAGAGAGTTAATTCCTAATATAGCCCTTATTGTCAATGTAATCCCACTCAAGTTATTTTTAGATAAGCCAATCCTTGTTAATTATTTTTCTTTGCTACTTTAATTTAGAGATTTTCTGTCATCGCTGACCAGCATGATAGTCAAATCAGGTCATGGATCTCTTCTCTCCAAGATTGTCTCTACTTCAACATTTCAGCAAGAAAGTTTGATAAAGAAATGGATATGTGAACTTGAGAATGTTAAGGTACACTGGTCCAATGTAATTAAGAGGGAATGTCCACTACGATCGAGCCAAATCGAAAACATGTGACACATGATGAAAAATCAAAATTCTTCACATTTCAGCCTAGAAACCTGGTGGGATTGTTTCTTGAAATAGTTTTTTAAACCTGCCAAAAACTCACAAACTAGTTAAACCCGACAAAAACTCATAAAATCGTGACAGTCACAACACTAACCTGCTAGACACAAACGTGCAAGAGTTATTTCTTTTTTTTGTGAAGTCTCGGAGATAGGAGCATTCATGGAGCTGTTTACAGTAATGATTTGGTTAATTCGACAAGTTATTTTGGTTGCGCTGTACAGCAAGAAAGAAACTGGGAATTTATGATGTACATACGATGTTACATCGGTAATGGTAAGATATCTAAATAGTAAGCTATAAGATGTTTGACTGAACAAATTACAGTAATCTGACACGTCTCCAGATTAATGTAGATACCATCTTATTTTTTTCTTTGATTCGTTCTTTGANCAATAGATTATCAGATTACCCAATCACGGTTAATCACCTTTACTAACTAAACGGTTAGGCAGATTACCCCCGGGGGGTTACTCCCATACAATACCTATACGGGTATGAACAGGTTTTTCTAATATGTTTATATAATTTACAAATAAGTTGTGATTATATATGAATGAGTATCGTTGCTATTAAAGTTGTCATTATATCAACTGTACGATCAATATATTTTTATTTGTTTTATCATACTACCGTCTCATCAAAATCGTTTGAACACAACCAGAAGGACCTCTAATAATAGCCCACTTTCAAAAAAAGTGTAAACCTGGAGTGAGTATGGGTTAGGGATCAATTATGGGATCGTTTGGCGGCGCTCGGACATTTGTTTTCAACCTCGTGCTCACCCAAACGATCCCACAACAGAGTGTACACCTTCTCTCGCCCAGGCTTCCACTATTTTTGAAAGTGGGCTATGTAATTGCGCGATCCGCTGCAAAGAATTTTGGAAATGATGTTTGCGAATGCTCGACCATTAGAAGGGCTATTTTCTTGAGAAATCTTCAGTAGTTATCAGTTAAGCTTTGACCGGAATTATGCAGAACCTTGGCAATGTTCACAAAAAATCACCGAGACTTCAAGTGATGCCCGGTAACCGTAAGGGAGCTTTTAACACCATGTTATTACATTTGAGGTTAACTTGTATTACATTTACGGTTGGTCAGCTCATTACAATTAGCGTTAAATTGTATTAGGGTTGATTTTTATTACATTTGCGGTTAGTATTACATTTAGAGTTAATTTTTATTACATTTACGTTTGGTATTACATTTAGCGTTGTTAATACATTTAGCGGTGATACACTTGTGTTTAATACAATAAAACGCCCAAGACTTCATATACCTCACTAAAGTTCTCATGAAC